GAGTATATTGAACAGACCTCATGATATCAAAAGAGACAAGTGGCACAGAAGAAGCTAGAAAAAGGCTGATGCATGTTGCCTAGCTGAAGAATGACAAAGCTTGCCTTGCACAGCTACTTTTGAGTCAATGCCATAGGGTCAAATAAAATGTATTAGTAGAAATTTAATAAAAAAAAGAGACATTAAGATTTCAACATGACTTTTGCCTGTACAGGTGTGCTTTGGACCCTTCCCCCACCACACCCCTCACCATAAACCCCCAAGGTGCAAAACCCAGTGGCAATGAGAAAGAGTGGGCATAGAAGGACCACATGTCTCAGACATCTTGCAGCTTCCTTTTGCCCACAGACGTGTGCTTTGTACCTCCCTTGCCTCACTTTCCTGCCTCCCCTTCACCATAAGCCCCCACAGTGTAGGAGCTGGTGGCAGTGAGAGAGGGAATGCTGAGAGGTAACACAGAACACAGCACATCTTTGACTTATTGCTGCTGCATTCCCTCCCCTAGTTCCCACCCACTGCCCAGGTTTGCATTGGAACCTCCCCCACGTGCCTCTCAGCCATAGACCATGTGGTGCATGTGCCTCAGCAGTCAGAGAGAGTGAGCATAAAACAACCACACCGCTAAGATGTCTTGCTCAGACCTTTTTTCTGACTCTCCCATGCGCCCCTCTGCCACAAGCATAGGAGTCAGCAGCAAGAGAGATAGAGAAACAGAGAATGAATGCACAAATTCACACATCTCAAGATTTTCTGCTGCTGCCTTTTTGCCTGCACGGGTGTGCTTTGGGTCCCCCTCCTGCATAAGCCACTCATTTCATAGAAGCCCATGAGAGAGAGAGAGAAAAAGAGAGAGTGAGAGAGAGAACGAGTAGAAAGAACACTCTTCTCAGACTTCAGCTGCTGTCTTTTGCACTGGTGTACTTTAGACCCTTTCACCCCTTTAACCTGTTTGCCCTAAATCCTCATGGTGCAGAAGCCAATGGCAACAAGAGACAGAGAGAGTGAGCACAGAAGGGCAGTGCATCTCAGACTTCTTGCTGCTACCTGTTACACTGGTGTGCTTTGGACACGCATCCCTCCCCCATTCTCCTCCACCTTAAGCCTGCACTGCAGAAGCCAGAGACAATGAAAATGAATGAGCTCAGAAGGACCACATGTCTGACTTCTTCCTGTTGCCTTTTGTCCACACAGATTTCTATTGGTACCTACTCTTCTCTGCCACTCCATTTTAAGCCTCCAAGGTGTAGGAGCTAGGGGCAATGAAAGAGGAACAGCATGTCTCAGACTTCTTGCTGCAGCATTTTGCCTGTGCAGGTGTGCTTTGGATCTTTCACCCACACTTCACCCCTCTGCCATAAATCCTCACATTGCAGGAGCCAGCAGCAGCAAAACAGAGATAAGAGTAATCACAGAAGGACCACATGTCTCAGACTTCTTGCTGCTGCGTTTTGCCCTTGCAGGTGTACTTTGGTCTCTCCACAAACCACACTCCTCTGCCTTAAATCTCCAAGGTGCAGAAGCCAGGGACAATGAGAGAGACAGAGAAAGTAAAGAAGAATTTATCTCAGACTTCTTGTCTCTGCCTTTTGAAAGCCCAGATGTATTTTGGAAACTCCCCCATGACCCAGGCTCTCTACCATAAGCCTCTGATGCAGGTGTCAGTGGCAGTGAGACAGAGAGTGAGTGCTGAAGGACTACACATCTCCAAGTTGTAGCTGCTGCCTCTTCCCTGTGCAGGTGAGCTTTGGATTCTCCCCCCACGTATCCCTATGCCATAAACCCCCATGGTGCAGGTGTCAGTGACAGCAAAGGAGGGGGGAAGAGAGGGCACAAAAGGGCCTTGTATATCCATCTCTGATTTCTTGCTGCTGCCTTTTGCCTGCCCAAGTGTTCTCTAAATCCTTTCCAGGCCCTGAGTCCCTCTACTTTAACCTCCCCAGCTCCCAGCGCAGAAGATACCTGCAATGAGAAAGAAAGAGAGAGAGAGAGAGAGAGAGAGAGAGAGAGCACGCACACACACAGGATGGTGCATCTCAGAAACCTTGCTCCTTCATTTGCCTGTGAAGTTGCACTTTGGATCCTCCTCTCCCTCCCCTCCCTGGCAGCCCTCTGCCATAGGCCCACAAAGTGAAGGAGCCAATGACAGTGAGAGAGAGAGAGGAAGCATAAGGACCTTGCATCTCAGACTTCTGGCTGCTTCTTTTTGTCTTTCTGCAGGGACCACCACCCTCACCACCACCCCCCAGTCTCTTCACCATAAGCCAACCCCCTTGCAGAAGCCAGTGACAAGGAGAGTTAGTGTAAAAGCGAGTATTTCAGACTTTTTGTTGCTGACTGCTGTGCTGGTATGCTCTGAATCCTCCACATTCCCCACATCTCTCAGCCTTAAGCTTCCAAGTTGCAAGAGTCAGTGGCAATGAGAGAGAGAGACAGAGACAGAGGGAGACAATAAATGCAAAAGACCGCTTATATCAGACTTCTTGTTACTGTCATTAACCTGCAGAGATGGGCTTTGGGCCCTCCCATCCCCTTGTCTCTGCCATAAGCCCCTAGGATGCAGGAACCTATGGCAGCAAGAGATGAAGGGTGTGTGCAGATGGACTGCATATCTCAGATTTCTTGATACTCCCTTTTGCTGTGCAGGTGTATTTTGCACCCTTCCCCTCAGCACATCTCCACCATGAGCCCCTATTATGCTGGAGCCAGTGGCAGTGAGAAAGAGAAAGAGAGTTAACGTGCAAGGACCACGTGTCTCAAAGTTCTTGTGCTGCCCTTTGTGCTTGCATATGTGCTTTGACTCTCTCCAACCCCCACAACCCTCCACTCTAAGCTCCCTTTGTGCAGAAGCAGAATGCAGTGAAAAAAAGCAGAAAGAAATCATGCATCTCAGATTCCCTATTACTGCCTTTTCCCTGCACAGGTGTGCTTTGGACCCTCACCCCACACTGCACAGCTCCACCTTATGTCTCCATGGTGCAAAACTTGGTAGAAGTAAGAACATGTGCAGAAGGACAGCTTTCCTCAGAATTCTTGCTGCTACCTTTAACTTGCACGTGTGTTTTGAATTTGCACACACATACACACACACACAACACAGCCCTACCCTATAAGCCCCTAAGGTGCAGGGGTTAGTGGCAGAGAGAGTGACAGAGAGAGAGAGATAAAGACCGCAAGTTTCAGACTTCTTGCTGCTGACTTTTTTCTTCATAGTTGTGCCTTAAGCCCTCATGGTCCAGAAGCCAGCACCATTGACAGAGAGACAGAAAGGAGGACTCCATGTCTCAGACTTCTTGCTGCTGCTTTCTGCCTGGGCAGGAGTGCTTTGGATATCCCCCTACACCACACTCCTATACCACAAACTCCGATGGTACAAGTGCCAGTTGCAATGACAGAGAGAGCAAGAGGGACCACACATCTGACTTCCTGCTACTGCCAGGTTCTTGCACAGGTGTGATGTGGACAGCCTCCCACCACTCCCACCCCCATCCCTCTAACATAAGCCCCCATTGTGCAGAAGCCAGTGCTACCTAGAGTGTGAACAGAGGAGGATGGCACATCTCAGAGTTCTTGCTGGTCTTTAGTCTGCACAGGTATGCTTTGGACCCTCTTATCCACAAACCCTTCTGCCAAAAGCCCCCGTGGTGCAGGAGCCACTGGCAGCAAAACAGTGCATAAGAGTGAGCAGAAGTATCGCATGTCTCAGACTTCTTGCTGCTGCCTTTTGCTGGTGTATGTGTGCTTTGGGACTTTCCCTCCCATGACCCCTAGCACTGGAGCCCTTCCACCATAAGCCAGCCCCTGGGCTGGAACCAGTGGTAAGGAGAGAGAGAGTAAACAGGAGCACATCCTGCTGCTGACTTTGATGACACAGTTGTGCTCTGAACTTCCCCCATCCCCCTGCTCCTCTCCACAGTATGCCCCATACTGCAGGAGGCAGCAGAAGTGAAAGTGAGCTCAGAAGTGCACATTCCATAGTTCTTTCCTTTGACTTTTGGCTGCAGAGGTGCTCTTTGGACCCTCATGCCCCTGCTCCCCTTTGCTCCCATAGTTGAAAAGCCAGTGTTAGAGAGAGAAAGCAGGACTGAGTATCTTAGACTTCTTGCTGCTTCCTGTGGCACAAGCTCATGTGTTTTAGACCCTCCCTCCCGCATAACTTTCTCCATAAGCCGCCATCCTGCAGGAACCAGCAGTAGCAAGATAGTGAGCTCAGAAGGAATGCTCATCCCAGATTCTTATAGTTGCTTTTGCCTGCACAGGTGTTCTTTGAACTCCTACTCCCTGCTCCCCTCTGCCTTACCCCCCAACAGTTCAGGAACCAGATGGAGAGAGAGAGAAGTACAAAGCATGTCAGATTTCTTGATATTGCCTTTTCAAATGCAGATATGCTTTGGAACCTCCCCCACCACCCTGTCTCCACCATGAGCCCCATGTTGCAGAAGCCTGAGGCAACAAGAGAAAGAGCACAGTAATACCATGCATATTAAACTTCTTGCTCCTGCCTTTTTCCCACACAGCTGTGCTTTGGACCCTGCCCCACCTTGAATCTTTCCACCATAAGCACTCACAGTGCACAAGCCAGTAACAATGAGAGATAGAGTGAAGGCAAAAAGACTCCATATCTCACACTTCTTGTTGCTTTTGCCTAGGCAGGTGTAGTTTGAACCCTGTCCCTTTGCCCTTCACCACCTTAAGCCCCCAGGATGCAGGACCAATCAGCGGCAAGACTGACTAAGAATCAGCCTAGAAGGACCAGGCATCTCAGACTTCTTGCTGTTGTCTTTTGCCCACACACATGTTCTCTGAACCCTCCCCACACAGCGCTCCTTCACCATAAGGTGCCACAAAGCAAAAACCAGCAATAGGAAGACAGAGACAGAGTGAGGACAGAACTGGGGATCTCAGACTTCTTCCTCCTTTGCCTGTGGAAGTGTGCTTTAGATCCCTCCCACCCCACACAACCCTATGCCATATGCTCCCATGGTGCGGGAGTCAGTGGCAGGGAGAGATGGAGAGAGTGTGACATAAGAACTGAGCATCTCAGACTCCTTTATGTTGACTTTTTCCTTCACAAGTGTACTCTGGACATTCCCTGAACCCTTCCAGCTTAAGCTTCCACAGTCCAGGAGCCAGCAGCACTGAGAGACAGAGAGAAACAAAAGAACCCCATGTCTCAGAGATAATACTGCTGCCTTCTGCCAGAATAAGTGTGCTTGAAATTTCTGCTCCCCACTCCCAGCATGCCTCTGTAATTAGCCCCCAGGCTGCAGGGGCCAGTGGCAGACAGAGGGCACACCTGTGCATTCCCAGAAGGACAGCACATCTCAGACTTCATACTGCTACCTTTTGCCCATGTAGGTGTGTTTTGGACTGTCCCACACCTCACCCCTCTGCCATAAACTCCATGGTGTAGGAGTCCACTGCAGCAAGACAGAATAGAGTGATCTCAGAGTCCTTGCTGTTGCCTTTTGCCCACACAGGTGTGCTTTGGACCTTCTCATCACTCATGTGCCCATCCTCTACAAGACCCCATGCTGGTCTGAACAGGGGCAACAGAGAGTAAGCACAGAAGGATGGAGCTTCTTCCTTTCATCTTTTTTCCATGCAGAGGTGTTTTAGACTCACCACATCCGATGCCCCTCTGTCTTAAGATCCTAAAGTGCATGAGTCAGCATTGAGAAGAGAGAGAGAGAGAGAGAGAGAGTGAGCACAGGAGGATAATTGTCTCAGACCTCTTGCTGCTACCTTTGGCAAGCCTAGATGTGCTTTAAAATGTCCCCCACCACCACTCTGTCCTCCACCATAAGCCCCCATGGTAAAAGAGCCAGTGGCAGTGAGACAGTGAGAGTGAGCACTGACTTTCAGACTTTTTGTTGCTGCATTTTGCCTGTAGAGATTCACTTTGGAACGTTGCCCTCCAGCCCCTCTGGCATAACCCCATGTGCAGGAGGCACTGATAACAAGACAGAGTGAATGCAGAAGTACTTTGCATCTCAGACTTCTTGATGTTGACTTTTGCCTGCATGGGTGTGGTTTATAAGCCTTAAGTCCCCACCTTGCAGGAGTCAGGAACAGCAAGTCAGATAGAAAGCATGAGTACAGAAGGACTTCATGTCTCAGTGTTCTTGATGCTGCCTTCTACTGCACAAGTGTGCTTTTGACCTTCACCATTGCCAAGGCCCCTCTGCCATAACTGACACAGTCCAAGAGTCAGTGGCAGTAAGAAAGAACAAATACTGAAAAACTGCATCTCAGAGTCCTTGCTGTTGCCTACTATCTGAGCAGGTAAAGGTGTGCTTTGGGCACTTTCCCCAATGCACTTCTGCAGTAAGAACTCATGGTGTAGGAACTAGGAACTAGTAGCACAGAGAGAGAGAAAGAAAGTGAGCACTAGGAATTAGTAGCACAGAGAGAGAGAAAGAAAGTGAGCCTATTAACTACACATCTCAGACTTTTTGCTGCTGCCTTTGTCAGCACAGCTGTGTTTTTGACCCTTCCCCCACCTCACCCTGCACCTTAAGTCTCCATGGTTCAGGAGCCAGTGGCAATAAGAGACTGAGATTCAGCATAGATGGATCACATATCTCAGACTTCTCACCTCTGCCTTTAGCTCAAGCTGGTGTGCTTTGGACCCTCTCTCATACCCCCCCCACCTTAACCCCCCATAGTTCAGGAGTAAGTGGCAGCAAGAGAGACAGGGAGTGCAGAAGGACCAGGCCTCTTCTTGCTCCTGCTTTTGCATGCCTTAGTTTGCTTTGAGATTTTAGTTAGCTGACTTGTACTTCCTTCTTTATTTGAATCAGCCCTAAGTGCAACTAATTCTGAAAGATTGAGGTAGAAACCAACATCTAAAGCTGGCTACATTCACCCTTCCTGGATTGATAGAAAAGGCTATTTCCCAAAAATCACACCTTAGAGGTAGAGCTCATCCTCCCAACCAACACTACAAAATCAACTCCAAAAGATTAAGAAGGAGTGTGTAATCCATTAGATGACCAAAACCAGTACAGAGACACAAGAAATATGAAGAAAAAGTAAAATATCTCTCCCCCAAGGGAACAGAAAAATTTCTCCTAAACCAAAGAGTAGAAAAACAGTCACAGAAATATCAGAAAAAGAACACAGAATGTTCAAAGTGACAAAACTGAGATGAAAGAGAAAATAGACAACCATTTCCAAATGAGGAAATCATCTCAAGACCTGAAAAATAATTCCATAAAGAGACAAACACCATAAAGAAGTATTAAACAGAACTCCTAGAGATAAGGATTCTAACACAAAAAAAGTTTTATAAAAACCTCCCTTGAAAGTATTAATAGCAGATTAGACCATGTAGAAGATAGAATCTCTGATCTGGAAGACAAAGCCATTCACTTAGACAAAACCACCAAAAAGAATAAAATAAAAACAGCTGGGGACATAAACCAGCCCATGCCTGAGAATTAAGCCAGAAGGAAAGAATGCAGAAGGGAGTTGAAACCAACCCCAATCCTAGACAGAAAGCCAAAAGGACTCCATGGCCAACCAGATAGAGCCCACACATGAGCCGTGTCTCAAGATGTTTGGTGACATTCCACAGCCAAAATACTGTCTAACTACTAAGTTAATGATAACTACCAATCTTGTACCAGGTATGCAACCTACAAAGAATGTCATGTATATTGTAAATCGTCCTCTATAGCTAAACTCACTACTTATTTAATTTAGAATAAATGGGTTCTGCTTTGGCACAGTTTTGATTCTGCTCCAAGAGAGCTTTAGCCCCCTCTTTTAACTTTTCCTCATCTCTTGCCTCAATTCTTCATGACAGCCTAACTTCGAGCCTTGAGTTTTTCACAAATAACCCCTCAAAATGAAGATGACCTACCAGAAACACTAGACACCATTAAACACCCAAATATCTGAATAACTGGTATTCCAGAAAGTGAAGAATATGACTACAGCAACAAAAACCTATCCCATGAAATATTTGAAGAAAGCTTTCCAAACCTAGAGAAACATTCAGACATCAGACCCAACAAACACAAAGGACTCCAAATGGAATAAACTTAAGAAGATTCTCTCAATGGTACATCACAACCAGATTAATCAAGACCAAAGACAAGGTTCTAAAAATGGAAAGAGAGAAATGTATAGTTATTTACAAATTGTTATCCTACTAGGCTACCATCAGACCTCTCGACTGAAACAATGCAAACAAGGAAAGAACAAAAAGACATATTCAAAACACTGAAAGAAAATTTCAACCCAATACTATACCCTGTGAGATTATCCTTCAAATTGGAAGAACATAAAAATATCATTTCCAGATTTAAAAAAAAAAGAAAACTGAAAAAATTTATCAACACTAGACAAGATATTCACAAAGTATTAAAGGGTATACTATATCAGGAAAACTAAAAAGGCACAAACAGAAATAAGAGAACAAAAACAAACTGGAAGATGGCTAACAAAATGGCAAAGATAAGTCAGAAAATATCAATAATTGTGTAGAATATTAGTGGATTAAATGCTCTAATTAAAAGATACACATGAACTGAAACTAGAGGGCTGAAAAAAGATACTCCATACAATTGGAAATTTGAAAAAAGCTGGAGTCATGATACTGATATCAGACAAAATTGACTTTATGACAAAAACCATAAGAACAGTTAAAGAAGGAAACTAGAGAGAAAGCAGGTGGCATGGCAGTTAAGGTACTGGATATCTACAAGGCTAATCATGGTTTGAGTCCCAGAACTGGTGGCTTGCTTTCTTACTTCTCTCTCTCTCTCTCACTCTCTCTCTGGAGTGAGCACGGGTGTCCTATACCAAATTAAAATAATAGTAATTAACCAAATTAAATAAATAATTCTTTTTTTAAGGCACTGTGTAGTATTAAAAGTATTATTCATCAAGAAAATATAGTACTTAGAAATATCTATGCACGCAACACTGGAGCACTCAAATTTGTGAAAGAAAGCCTGCTAGATCTAAAGGGAGAGACAGACAGCAGCATGCTAATCAATGGGGATCTCAACAACCCACTGTCTCCTTTGAACAGATCATCTAGACAAAAAATAAGCAAAGAGATTCATGATCTAAACAATACCATAAATTGAATGGGTTTGGCAGATATCTATAGAACTTTCCATGCAATAACCACAAAATACACATTTTTCAGACCCCTCCATATAGAAGATTTTTGAAGATGGACGACAGGATAGGACACAAAATTAAAATGTACAGGAACTATATCCAGCATCTTCTCTGACCACAATGAAAACAAACTTGAGATTAACTTTAGAGAAAATCCTTGAAAACACACATGAAAACTAAACAACCTGACGTCACAACCACTGAAGAAATTATGACTGAAATAAAAAATGTATTAAAACTGATGATAATGAACACACGAGTTTTCATTCCTTATGGGACACTGTGAAAGCAGTCATAAGAAGTAATTTTATAGTAATTAGTGCTCATGAGAAAAAAATAAAAAGAGCCAAATAGACAACCAAGTGACACACCTCAGTGAATTGGAAAAATCACAAGAAAACTCCCCAAAAAAATAACAAGAGAAAAGAAACAATAAAGTTTCAAGCAAAAATAAATAAAATAGGAAATAAACAAACTATGCAGAAAATAAACCAAAATTGGTTCATCAAAAAGATAAAAAATATTGACACACCGTTTACTGGATTAATCAAGAAAAACATAGAAGGGAGCCAGGTAAATCAAATTAACAATGAAACAGACAATATTAAAACAAGCATAACAGAAATACTGGGTTGTTGGAAAAGTCATAACACATGTTTACATACAAAAACATGAAAAAATATGTCATGACTTTTCTGATGACTTAATACAAAAGATCATGCAAAAGTACCATAAGCGCCTTTTGGCCGGAACCGCCATCTTCCAGTAATTAATCAAAATAACA